GACTTCTGTCGAGTCTCAATTTCAGCCAATCTTTTACGGAGAACCTCGATTTCTTCTGCACTATGTCTTGACATACGATTCCGTTCAATCCGACGCCGTAAATCTTCACGATCACGAAGTACTGGTGAGGTAGGTCTGGGGCGCGACGGAATTCTCTGACGATGAGCAGAATGACTTTTAGCAGTCATCTCTTGAACAGGAGGTTCCTCCGCGACCTGGTTGTTCGTTACCGGGTTAACGGTCATACAAGTTAAATCCTCTCGATGTGGAGAAGTATGACTTGGTTGTGACGTAGCATGTGACGTCGCTGCATGCGTTTCAGGGTCATGATGAGTAAGATTTGGATATTCTGTTGGATTCGTAGGAAACAACGTTGATACAGGTATAGTACTCGAGTGTCTGGGCATGGCTCGAGCTATTAGAGAGGTTAAACCTTGAATAAACTCCGGGTTTCGAAGGAAGTTCGTGATATTCGTGACCGGAGGAGGTGGTGTTGAACGCCTTGGGGAATGATTAGTCGATTGGCTCTGGCCAGGATGAGCCGTATGATCTCGACCAGATTGCGACATAGTACCTTCAAGCGAGGAGGTGGCTATAACAGCGAAAGTTAACCTCAAAAATCTTATGAGCCCTTATGTGGCAATTAACAACGATAATATAATGAAAAACACGTTGGGTATTCAAGAGAGAGAGATTCAGAACCTGATAATAGAAAAGGAAAGTTTTTTTTGAATATTATTGTATATTTTTTCATGTGTCTCCCCTGGAGAGTCTATTTTTTCCTTTTATATTAATTTACAACACTTATTAGCAATATAATCATTACATTAGAATAGTCAACGGCGACTAATTGCCATTTATCTTGGTAGCGTGCCACTTGGCCAGGTGTAATGATGACTTGTGCTGAGTTGGCGCCGCCTTATGGTGTCGGTGTGGCAATTCATAGATATCGGTTTGATTAGCCATAACCGATATGTCCTAACCGACATGTCGTACCCGACATGTCACAACCAATATGAGATGTCGGATAGTTGATGAAGATGTCGGTTCTTGATCCATTTTTTCCCGATTAATGATTGCTTTAGGGACCCTTGAAGATGTTCTCCTTTTGAATGAATATAATCTTCTACTTAATGAGCATAAAAGCCTGATAAACATTGCTAACTTGGTTTACCAAAAACCATGTCAACAATACCCAATTTTTTTTTGTTGACACTTTGTAACGCCCCGACTTTCTAATACATCAGAGTACGCGGTTTTTCGCAAATATTGTGAATAAATAAATAATTAAACTAACTTTTTAATTTGCGAAACTGATTCGGGGGTTACCGTGAAAAACATGACTTCTGAAAACCGTTAGAATTTAAAACTGAAACGTGAAACGGTTAT